CCTTTCAAATATTTATTTTTAATCCACCCATTAAATAATTTCAAACGCTAAACAAGTGCATCTCGTTGGCTTCTCACACTAGACTTGTTCACTGATGACAGAATTCTCTGTACTCAGGTGTCTCTCAGAGCTGGCTCGTCATGCCAGCCATCATGGTGACACCATTTACCCAGCAATCAGAAGTGTATATAGGAGGCCTAAAAAGATTCGTTTTCTTTGATATGTTATTGTAGGTGGTTTCACATCAGTTTCATTCCTGGGCATTTGGAAGGAAGAGGTCACTAGGACAAAGAGAAAAACAGAGCTCACTCCCCCACTCCCTGCCCCAATGATACAAACTTCTTTTCCTTCTAATTTCTTGGTTTAAGGTCACTTATAAAATGATCAAAATAAAAATCATTTCTGCACAACCATCTGACATATCTGCCCCTTAAAAGAAGCCTGTTAATTGTTCAAGGTGGAAACAAGTAAAGGTAGAAAAAAGCTCGTTGTTGGCTCAGAGCCCGCCTGGCCTTCATGCCAGGGAGAAGCTACCACACATCACAGCATCGGCAGGACCATCTCTCAGACTGGCATAGCCTTCCTGCCAGGGCCTCAGCGGTGCTCCTGACCGACCCTGTGAGTTAACCGGTCAAGTGACTGGCTAACATTCGCATAAACCAGTTAGGACAGGTCAGGCTGGACTTAGGGATTCTGGGCCAAGCCCATGTTCTTCCCACATTGGAACCCAGCAGCATCCTCTGGGAGACACACTTAGAGACAGGAAATGGGAGAACTTGCACATGTGTGTGCATGGGAAGGGGTGTTTCTGCTGGGACCAAGAGACCTCAGGAACACTTCCACTTCTGTACTCTCTGGTATTTTATTGCTGTTAAGCCACGCTTACAAAAACTGGAGTCCCAAGGGCTGATGAGAAGCCCCTCCCTGGGAATGTAGGGAGAGGTTGAGGATGGGGAGAGGGAAGCCTCCCTTGGTGCACTGGAGCAGCAGCAAAGGCCTGGGGGCAAGAGATCCCGGCCCTCCCAGCTGCAGCCAAGCCTCATCTGAGAAATGGCTTAATACCCAAGCCCGAAGGGTGGACTTCAGGTTATATGGGGGCACGGATGAGCCGGTGCAAGGGAACCTGCTTTGCAAAGTCAGCCAGTGAGTGAGAACAAAGTGGATAATCATCAAGACTTCCCATTTCCATGCTGGTGTATAGGGCAGGCTGATTGGAAAGGAGCCCTACCTGCAGCCTGGTTTTGCTTTTTAGCAATAGCAAACACCTGCACCAAACACCGCAAATGCCACGCTGCCCCCAGGGCTTCAGAGCCTGAGACCTCGAGGAGACCCTGGCAGCCTTGCTAGGTCTGAGACTGGATTTGCAGCTATTCCTAGCTGGTGCGAGGGAACTTCTCCTTCTAGTCTCCCTCTTCCTTTCCATCCCCAGAGTGACCCAGATTCCTCCACTTGGAGTAGAATAAGGGAAACTCTCACCTAGGGAAAAGTTTGTACGTTTTTACAGTGTTTGTCCGCTCTTGACTGAAGTATTTCACGGGCTCGGGCAGGTTCAGGAGGAGCGTTTGCAACCGTGGTGTCGGTGCCCCGGTGCTTCGTCTCCGTTTTAAAGGGGAGGAAACTGGGGAGTGAGGGGGCAGTCTCTGGCTTTCAGGTCCTGCTCTCCTAGGAACTTGCTCTAAAGAGGAAAGGAGGAAGAGGTGGAGAGATGGAGAAAAAAGGGGGAAAGGAAGCAATGGAAGAAAGAAAAAAGGAAGTAATTTTTGCTAGGAGATGAACGGGTGGTTCACGCAGCTGACATGGGAAAAGCCGGACGCCAGTACCCGCCCACAGGTGCGCTGCTGTTTGCGCTTGGCTCGCGGTGACCAGCGAGGCCAGCGTAGAGGTGCTGGGTCTGCTTCTGTCATCTCCAACATCTGCTGGCGCCTCCGTCCCACCCAGCTGCGGTTCACAATACTCCGCAAGACGCAGCGCCGTAGCTCCTGCGTCCCGACTGTTGGCGTTGCCCGTGGGTGATTCACCGCACAGAGTCTGGATCCAGAAGCTGCTGAACCCACGGCGGCCGCGGAGTCCCGGCCAGCGAAGGTTTCCGCGCAGAGTGCGGGTCCTGGCATCTGCAGCTGAACTCTTCGAGCCCCTTGGCGTTGGACACTTAGTGTCTGTGCAGAACTCGGGAAGGATCGGAACGTGCGGGGACCAGAGAAGTAGAGGAATCCGGGAGACCCCGCGTCTCCTGGCATCTCCCGCAGCAGGGCTGGTTCCCACGCAGCCGTCCGGATGAATAAACGCATCGCAGCGAATAGAGCAAGGGATGAAAAAGCCTGGGGGATGAGAAGCCCGTGCGCCCATAGCTCTCAGCGTGCCTGGCCACGCCAGGGCCAGCGAGGAGATGAGGAACGCACAACTCCTGGACGGCCCAGGTTCAGCAAGCTGTCTCTGGACGAAATGCCAGAAATCAAACAATGGGAAATAGCAATTCCAACACGCACTCTCCCTGCCCCCGCCCCTTTGTTTTCTCGGTGTTTGACTCGGGTCCCTGGGATTCACCTGGGCCACTCTGCTCTGGCACCCTGGCGGGGAGTGCGCGCTCGGCTCTGGGTGACCACGTCGGGCACCGGAGAGGGCAGGATGGGGACTCCTCCTGACCCCTTCAGACCTTCTTCCCTGGGGAGCCCCGTCCCCGCCCTAGCCAGAAGGTGGAAGCAGAAAGGTGGGACCCTAGTTCTTCCTAAGGTGCGCCTTCGGGACCCACTGTCTCTCGTGCCCAAAGAGCTACTCTGCCTTAACGGGGTGCAGCCCGCCCTTCTCACCCCCCAACTCGGCAGCACACCGCCCAAGGGCCTTTGCGGGAAGAATTTCCGGCAGAGGGGCGTGACCCTGGGAATGGTTTAGGCTTCCCGACGTAGGCTGTCGCCCTAGATGGCAGGCACACCCTCTACAAAGAGCTTCCCTGCCTGGTTCCCGGCGCCAGTCAGCCGGTTTGCTCGGCCTTGGGTTCCAGAATGCTTTCCTGCGAAGAACAACCCCCCTTCTCGGCCGGTGCCGCATCTACTCCCCGCCCTGATCTGGTCGCAGCCTGATCTGGGGGGACCGCATGTCGAGCAAATGGGCCTGGGATACTGCTCCTAGACCCCTGTTGGAAGCCACAAGAAATACCTCCAGCAATGTATTGTAAGCGGACAGGGCATTTGCAGATGAAAATTACTCAAGGTAATTTTCTAAAAGGCAGGGCCCACGTTGTGGCTTGGCCACCGACCCCCACCCCATCCCTTACGGGCGCTTGTGCCTGTACCAGCTGCTCCCACTTCCCATCCAAGCTCCCTGCTTATGTACCTGGGAAAGCAGCAAACGATGACCCAAATGTGCCTGGCCTTTGCCTATCTCAATTCTAGCCTTTCTGGCCTTTTGGGGCGAAACCAGCGGCTGGAAAATTCTCTCAACTCTCTAACACTGACTCTCAAATAATCTAAATTTATTTATCCAAATAAATTCTAAACATTTTTAGAATTAGGACGCATCAGCGGAGGAGTTGCTTTTCCAGGGTCTCAGCAGCCAGCCCTGCGTGTGCTGCCAGGTGATTGCAGTGGGGGCCGGGGCTGGAGGTTTCTGTACTTGCGCCACCGCCCAGGGAGGGTTGGAGCTAAATTTCGCTGGGTTGATCTCACCGAACTTTTGTGTTGGTCCCGGGAGGCCAGTCTTATTATCCTCCTCGTTTTAGGATTAGGAAAGGAGGCACCGAGAAGCTAGAAGCGTCCGACTTGCCCAGAATCACGCATTCAAGTCATCCAAACTGTAGGACAGGTCCTGACTACCAACCCTGCGACCCTCCCACCACAAACCACTACCTCCACCCCAGCCACCTTTGCGGAGCCATCACAGGAGTGGTGCTGGGTCAATATTTGTGGATCGAATTCCAAAACCCAGTTGAGGGCATGTCTCAGACATCCGCCGGGGGTTTATTCTCTCACTCACTCAGCTGTTTTGCAAGGCCTAGTGTGTGCGGCCCCAGTGCACACACAGTAAGGGCACAGGCACAGCCCCAGCCCGCAGTCCCTCGAATTCCTGCTTCTTAGTGCGCCCCGAATCCGGCTCCGCAGGCGCTTTCGACTTGGGATCTTCCAGGTCATACGAAAGCCACAGGGGACACGAAGGAGGGTGGCAGCGACCCCCACTCCCCGGAGAGGAGCCAGACTGCCAATTGGAATGGAAGAGAACCAGAGGAGGAAGGAGCTTAGGGGTGACTGAGCGCAGACCTGGGCCACCCCAAGAGCAAGGTGCGCGTGTGGGGTTGAGACATCTGAGAACTTGCACCCCACCTACAAGGTGTCCTCCAGGAAGTGGGGGGCGGCGGGGATCCGGGGGGTCTCGGGTACGCCCTGCTCAAAATCCAGGCCTCAACCTCAACCCCAACCTCAGCCCTACCCCGGGTTAGCTTCTTCAGGGAGGTGGCCGAAAGCAGTCGGGGTGGACTCTCAGTCAAGGACAGCCCAACGGCCGCCGGGGTGGGGGGCTCAATCAAGATCCCGGTGTCCTCCTTTTCCCCCACCCCGCGTTTCCCTCCCAGCCCCCTGCGCCCCGACGTATTTCGGCAAGGCGGCTTGGGTCGGTTTTCCCGTAGGATCCCGTGCGTCTGAGCTGATGGAGGATGGCCCGGGGAGGCCGCGGCGGGTCGGGGCAAGGGAGGGCGCTAAGGCATGCAGTGGCAGCCGCGGGCTGCAGTGGTGCGGCACCTGCGGCCGGGAGCGGGCGGGGCTGCGGGCCCAGATCCCGGGCAGGCCGGGGAGATGGAGGGGCGGACCCGGGGCGGGCGCCGGCAAGAGGCCTCCCCCTCTCTTTCCTCCTCTTCCTCCTCCTCCTCCTCCCGGCAGGTCGGAGCGGGGACGCAGGGAGGGGGCCAGCACTGCGACCGAGGGAGGGGCCGCGCCGCCTTGGAGAGTCATTGGAGGACGCGGCCACCCGAAGCTGATAAATAAGGGGCCCGGACACGGCTGCCGGCCAAGTTGGACGCCCCGACCCTTACGAGGGCCAGGTCAGCACCGGCCCCGCGAGGCAAATCGAGGCGAACCCCGTGCTGCCATGGCCTCGCTGTTGGGAACTTACTCGTGGCCCGAGGGCCTCGAGTGCCCGGCACTGGAAGCCGAGCTGTCGGATGGGCTGTCACCGCCTGCTGCCCCGCGCCCCTCAGGGGACAAGGGCTCGGAGAGCCGCATCCGGCGGCCCATGAACGCCTTCATGGTTTGGGCCAAGGACGAGAGGAAACGGCTGGCGGTGCAGAACCCCGACCTGCACAACGCCGAGCTCAGCAAGATGCTGGGTGAGTGCAATGGGCCGGGGGTTGGCAGGGCGTGGGCACGACCCAGCGAGAGTGTGAGCGCGCGTGTGTGAGCGCCCGGCGTGCCGGGCAGGCACACCTGGGCTGGGCCCAAAGTGAAACCCCGCAGCTCCGGGGACGGGACTGTCCGGCTAGGGGACACAGCACACACCGACGCGCCAACGTGAGCGCGTCAAGGCCGGGGAAGGGTCAAGGCGGCAAAACCTACCACTCCACGTGGGACCATTCTCGGCTCAAACTGTGACCAACGAATATTCGCGGAGAGGGAACTAAAGGGAACGGATTCCTGTTTAATAGCTACACGCAAAAAAAAAAAAAGTCTACTAAAAAGACGCGCTTCATTTAATTGGTTTCTCGGTAGCTAGTGTGTAGACGCCATTTGGTTGTTCTGGGGGACCAGTGAGGGTCTGTCGCGTAGCCTGGCGTTGGCTGCGGGCTGCGCGACAGACCTGGGCCTCGGGGACCCAGGGGCTGCGACCAGGGATTCTCGAGCTCCTATCTGTCCAGCGTTGCAAGCCAGCGTGGTTACCTGTGGAGGTGATATTTGCGGGTTTTACTCCTTCGTCCCCCAACTCCCTTGAGAAACCCTGGATTCCCGTGGCAGGCGCCGGACCGGGGCGGGGGCGGGGAGGGGAGAAGGACGTGCGTGGTCACCCGAAGCTGGCCTTTCCCAACCCCACCCGGCCCGGAATGGAGTCCTTCCTTTTTCCGTCGGCGCTCAGGGCTTCTTCCCGGGCCGGAACCAAGTGGAGTGCTAGCTGGCGCGCCCCTCTGCTGCTGACCAAAGCTGCACGCCCCAGCAGGGAGTGCCGGGCCCTTCTACACTTCAGACACCGCTGGCTGCCAAGCCTGCCGCCCTGCGCTGTGTTCCCAGGGCCTTCTGCCCGCCCAAGGCGCTGCCTGCCCGGCCAACTGTACCCAAAGCGCATTAGTGCATCAGTGCCTTCCCGGACATGAAATACATATATAACTTACCAAGATGTCTCAAAAAGTTCTTGGAAAAATAGCATTATTGGATAAGCTTGGATAATGCATACAATTTTCGAAATCTATGCATTTGAAGTGTCTTCCAAAAGCTCATCCAAAGTACATAACATTCAAAAACCTCATGGATTTTTAAATTCCACTTCCCATGAACTTTTTGAAGTGCCTTCACAGACTGTATTGACATAGAGGGAAATATATTTATAAATGCCATAACAAAGCATGTTCTTTGACCTACAAACTCATATTTTCCTTCAGGTTCTGATATAAATGGAAACTTTTTTGTGTGCCTGGGAGATTTTTTTTCCTCCCCGCGGACCCTGGGCACTGTGCCTATTGATGAGGGCAGGTGGAAAAAGGAAGCCTGGGGTTGCGACCCTGTTAGAACAGGTGCCTGTCCCAGGCCCGGGCCAGAGATGGGAGAAGAGCGATGGCTGGGGAGTCTTGCCCCCTTGCCTGGAGTCTGCCTGCTGCCAGGAGAGGAGCAAGCAGAGGGACTTCAGGAAACAAATGTGGCCCTTTGAGCCAGGAACTCAGCTCCAAGAAGTTACTGTGCATTTGCGGCAAAGACCCTGATTCCCTCCCGCTCAGCCCCACAGCGCCTGGCTCTGGGTCAGGGACACCAGCACAGGGTTGTTTTGTAAGCTGTGGACTTGGTATAGCTTTTAAAAGAGGAGCCACCCCCAGGAGCTACTGCCCCCACTCCCGGCCCTCCTTTTTGATCTATGAAAAGGGACCTATGCTGACGTTCTCCATCAGAAGTGTTACAACGTTGGGCGTTAATATTGCACTGGTGAGGGTCTGTCGCATGGCCTGGCATTGGCTGTGGGCTGCGTGACAGACCTGGGCACCTCGCTAGTATTTCTAGTACATGATGAACAAGGGCCATCCAGGTCCAGATGGAAACGGGAGTCACATGTTATATTTGGAACACAGGATCTCGGGTCTCTTGAAACACTGGGTGGCCTCAAGCCACAGACTGGAAACAAGCTTTGAATCCAGAGACCCTAACACTTCAACTCATCCTCTTAAAAAGTGACCACTGATCGTATTACAGGACGACTCCACAGAATAAATAGAGAATCCACCTCTAACGATGGGTGGGAACAGACCTGCAGGAGCTCTCAGCCCCCCATTTGACTGCCTGACCCATGGATGCAGTCCAGTGCAGACACTGAGAACCACAGGTGCATAGCTATGTACATGGCCCCGGGGGCCTGCACCAAGTGGAAGCAATGGCTCTTTTCCTATAGGGCTTAGCCAGAGGCGTGGACTCTGGGCTAGTAGACCTTGAAGCTCAGGATGTATGAGAGCCAGGAGAGCATCAGGTTCAACCTGAACCCATGCTGGGAGGTGACAATCCACAGGATCCCCAAAGTTCCCCCCTAGGAAAACACTGCAGATAGATGTGCCACAGACACTAGGAGAAATAACAGAGATGGCAAAGCAACGGGCAAAATAGCCAACACATGAGGACTGATGGGTAGCAAATTGAGTGCAAGCAGCATTTTGGTGCCCATGAGCTCCCAGGGTGGAATGTCACTTAAAGAGGGAGTTCGAAATTGGTTAGTATCACAGTATCTAATTCAGAGTTAGGGAAATAGATACGCAGGACAGTTCAGGGATTTGTTTTTGTATGCAAAGGCAGTGGCTGAGCGAGTGTCCCATATTAGTCAAAGGGCTTGTGTGTACCTCCGTGTGTATGCATATGCACCAGTGGGGCAGGAAGACCCCTAGCTTCCTGGCTGTGGTTATACAGAGGCGTCCGTTCGACTTCCAGAGGTGAATGAAGAGCCATTTGTTGTTCTCGAAAAGCCTACACTAGACTCCTACCCATGACACGATGGACAGAGTGAGACTGTCACAGACAGGGCTGTGAGACTTCCGCTGTGAGGGAATACTACAACAGCAGAGGGTTTTCATCACCGTGCATGAATGACTAGAATTAACACGCACCTCCCTTCAGGGATGCAGAGAACCCTGGTCAGGGTTGTGGCTTAGGTGGCTTTTCCCTGTCCCTGTCACAGAGGCCAGGTGGGTTTGTCGCTGCTGCTCCCCTAGTGTTTGTGGCATTTGGTGTCACTTGGTGACTTTTATAGGAGCGGAGACCCTTCTTCCTGTGTACTTTGCATGAAAAGGCCTGACAGGGGAGGCAAGCAGGAAATGCTGGTCCAGGTTCCATCGGCGTTCAGGATCTGGGCTAGGTAGGAAGAGAGAGGTTGGAGGTGTGCCAGGCTCCTTGTGGCCATGAGAGGGGGACTGGAGGTGGAGCTGGGAGCAGAGGTACAGGGTTTGTGTGTGTGTATGTGTGCGCCTGTATGCATGTGTGATGCCTGGAGGCCCCAGGCCAGAGGCAGGTGTGTTGGCTGGCCCAGCTACACCAACGCTGAGCGCGGCCCTCTCTGACTTGTGTGAGCAGGGAAATCGTGGAAGGCTCTGACGCTGTCACAGAAGAGGCCGTATGTGGACGAGGCAGAGCGCCTGCGCCTGCAGCACATGCAAGACTACCCCAACTACAAGTACCGGCCCCGCAGGAAGAAGCAAGCCAAGCGCCTCTGCAAACGCGTGGACCCTGGCTTCCTCCTGGGCTCTCTTTCCTCCCGAGACCAGAACACCCTGCCAGAGAAGAGGAGCACCGGCGGCAGCCGGGGGGCATTAGGGGAGAAGGAGGACAGGGGTGAGTACTCCTCGGATACCGCTCTGCCCAGCCTCCAGGGCTGCTACCATGAGGGCACTGCTGGCGGCAGTGGCAGCGGCATCAGCGCTCCCGGGAGTGTGGACACGTACCCCTACGGGCTGCCCACGCCCCCGGAAATGTCGCCCCTGGATGTGCTGGAGCCGGAGCAGACCTTCTTCTCCTCCCCCTGCCAGGAGGAGCACACCCACCCCCGCCGCCTCCCTCACCTGCCAGGGCCCCCTTACTCACCACCCGAATTCGCCTCTAGCCCCCTGCACTGCAGTCACTCCCTGGGCTCCCTGGCCCTTGGCCAGGCCCCAGGAGTCTCCATGATGTCCCCCATCCCTGGCTGTCCCCCATCTCCCGCTTATTACTCCCCTACCACCTACCATTCTCTCCACTCCAACCTCCATGCCCACCTGGGCCAACTCTCCCCGCCTCCTGAACACCCTGGTTTCGATGCGCTGGATCAGCTGAGTCAGGCGGAACTGCTGGGGGACATGGATCGCAATGAGTTCGACCAGTATTTGAACACTCCTGGCCACCCGGACTCTGCCCTCAGCGGCCACACCCCGCTCTCCCAGGTGACCCCCACGGGCCCCACAGAGACAAGTCTCATCTCCGTCCTGGCTGATGCCACGGCCACCTACTACAACAGCTACAGTGTGTCCTAGAGCTGGCAGGCCCAGCCCTGCCCCCTTCTCCTTCCTGCGCACTGAACAGAGCCTGGGCAGCACCACCAGCTTCCCTCCAGCTTCCCCTCTGTAGAATTGCCGGGATTTCTTGGAGCCTTCACCCCAAGGCTCCACTTACCCTATTCCCCTCCCCTCCACACTTCTCCCACACCCCTCCACTGCCCTGCAGCGTTCCCTTCCAGTGAGTGTCCATGACCACAGCTGGGAGTGAGGGCCTCTCCTCCCCCATGGAGACTACACTGCCATCCACTCCTGGTCCCCTTGGTTGAACCCGCTGGCCGGAAGCCCCAGAAGCAAGCCTAGGAACTTCTCCTGTTTCTGACATGACGGCACCCAACCTCTGTGCTGCTCCAGGGGAGAGGAGTCCTGTGCTGGGATCCAGTCCTGGTTCTGTCCCAGGGGCCTGCAAAGTTCCTGCTTCCCTTCCATTGTTGGTTCTGCTCACTGGCAGGTGGAACCAGACACTCACCACCCCTATGCTGAACCTCACTGTGATTCCCAAGAAGAGATCTCTCTGAGCCCTGGCCGCCCCACTCCCCAACCTCCCAGACCAACCAGTTCCAGCCTTCCCCCAAACCTCCTCAGAAGGAGTGGACTTGCTGGCGAACTGAAGATGGCTGCTGGTTTTTCTATGTCAGCATTTTATTGCCTGTATGAAATATGTGTTTTATATATTCTTGTATTATTTTCACCTTTTATTTTGTATTGTTGACAGACCCTGTTTTGCCCCCTCCAAGAAGTCTTCTTATAAAACCATGTATAAGATATAACTAATCCTGAAGCTATTACTGTATATGCCATTTGGTAATAAATAATGACTCGGTGATGACATTATTGGTGCACCCAGAATGTGTATTCATAATCTTGTCCAATGGTGTCATAGACATTAAGCTAAACTGTTCCTTTGTTGTTGTTGTTGTTATTAAGAGCTACATGTGTTTGGAACAGTTGTACATTTTGATTTGTTGAAAATATTTAATTTAAATAAACATTTTTGTACCATGATTGTTTTCATCCATTGCAATAGAGTTTTTGCAAGAAGTTAACCAGCAGATCCTAGAGAGAATAAGTGGTGCTGTTTGTAGAATTCATCCTACATGTTTTCTGCAGCAACCTGTGGATTTTGGAAAGCTGTCACCTTCTAGGAGAGGGTTATCTTGAGTTTTGGTAAAGAGGCAAGTCCCACCATTCTACATGGAGAAGTGCTGTTAGCGTTAAGACCAACAAAAGCTCCCAATTCATATTCTAGCAAAAGAATCGTTTTCTCCTGGAGATTTTGGTGCTTGCAAAGTAGCGTGAAGTGTGTTGTATTCTGTCACTTGCTGACATCAGGCAGCCACCTCACTTTCCTCTTTTTGAAATATTCCTGAAAAGCACTGAGTTGACCCTCTTCCCTTCTGTGCACTCATGGGTGTGGTGTGGCAATGCACTGTGGGCTCTCAAATATGCGTGGCGGATGCTGGCAGTGTTGGAGTGCAAGTGCAAGGCTGAATGAAAATCCCAGCCATGGCCGGGAAAGCTACCACTGGGCCTTGACCCAGGTGCCGCGCTGCAGCACGTTCACCTCAGAGACAGCCTTGTGCTCTCCCCCTCCCCCAGCCAAGGACGGGGTCCCGAGAGGGCCCACTCAGGTCTGCATCCTAACCTAAACTCAAGACCCCGAGAGCACTTTGCAGATGCATGGGGCTTTAAGGCAACTTTTACCAGACACTTCCTCACCCACGGCCCCTTTGCGCAGCAGACACTGAGGCCCAGGGTAGGAGCTGCCCCTTGCTCTTCCTGTTGGCCCCCAACTGGGTCTCAGCACATTGTCAGGTGTTCATTGGCAATATTGTTGACTAGTCTCACAGCTGATACCTGTTGTCTTTTAAAAAAAAATTTTTTTTTTCTCAATGCTTCACTGTGGTATGGAATCTTTTTTTTTTTTTAAGGTGCAGAGATGGGGTTTTATTTGGGGATTAGTTGGTATTACAGATGACAGTGATACCAAAAGCCAATGTTTCTTTACCTCCCCCATACACACTTCACCTCAAATCTGTCAGGTTGTCTCCACAGCCTCCCATCAGAACACAGACCACCTCATCTCAGTGAAAATTAAAGCAACATAAATGCCAGGCTCGTTCTGAGTTTGCTGATGTCACTCCCTCTGCAGATCCATAGTTCTGACTCATTTGCTCAGGAGGCTAGGAGGTCAGCAGGGGCGGAGCCTCAGCAGTCTCCCAGCTTCCTCGGTAGTAGGGTAATAGCCTGAAGACAGACAGGACTCCTAGTTCAGAGGCAGCAAGCTGGCATTGAGGGCGAGGACTGAAGACCAGATCTGACAGGAGAGCTGGCAAACATGGTCCCCTGCCTCATGCTTCTGACTGTACCTCGAGCTAAGAATAGGCATAGAGGTCAGGAGGGGCAGTGTGCTGGGGAGCAGGAATCAGGCCCCCGTCACTGCTTGCAGCTGGGCTGGCCTGGAGGCAGGTGAGGAAGGGGAGAATTCCTGATCTAAATCTCCTATGTAAAAGCGAGGGCAAAGGAGCCATTTTTCTTATGTTCAGTCTTAGGAGAGGCAAGGTGAGCCATAGGAGCTTTGCAATGAGCTGGGCCTTAGGTTAGCAATGGTCCATGTTGGTGATAATGGCTGAGGCGTAGATGAGGTTGGACAAGCTGCCTAGTGAGGTCTGAGGAGTAGCACACTCCAAAGAACGGCAGACCACTGAAGCCCCAACTAGTCCCCTTGGGGCTGCAGCATTAGCCCCTGCCCAGCTCTGGCCCAGACTTGAGAGAGGAGCTGCACAGGAGGTGAGCAGGCATGCAGGAGTACACCCAGCTGTGCTGGCGATGGGAGGAGGCTGGCCCCCTGTTCTGGCCTCACTGGGCTGCAGGGGGGCGCAGCAAAGTCAGCCCAGGGAGGGAAGGAACCAAGCAGAGATGGCATGGCTTGTGTTTGATGAGATGGAAGGCCTTGCTGCTCAGGCCTGTCACTGCGGTGGCAGGCAGGAATGGCTTACAGTGTCGTTGGCCAGCATGGTTCAGACAGGGTCTGCCTTGGATAGCCCCCCCCCTTGACACAGCCATATGGGCACCTTTGATTTGGGATACAGAATGTTGTGAGTGCTTAGAAGCAGGGGTGCTTGAGAACTTAAACCACCCTTTCTGGATGCCCCACTGCCTTGGTGCCAAGAGCACTGGCCAGGAAGAACCCACAGCCCTGCACACTTATGAACCACTTTTCTTGAATGCAGATGTCATTTTGTCACTCTTTTTCTAGAGACTCTTCAGCACCTGCTGGTAATCAGGACTCAGGTGGTGGCTTCACCCTGGGGCCAATGACCACCAATATTGCCATGCCTGCCCCTTGCCCTCACTTTGGGGTTTTTACCTGCTGGTCATGTGTCCACACAAACCATTGTTTTAGATACATTTTTTGAAGGGTTGCTGCTCATGTGATGGCCCCTGGGGTGGACCCTCTTTCCAGAATCTTCTCCCACAGCTCCCCTCCCCAAGTGTATCTTTCAGAGGGAGCCTGGTGACATACACTTCTGCATGGTTTCCAATGCCAGCTTCTGCTGCCATCCTGAGACATCTCAGAATTGTCCAGGCCCAGGACGGACAGACCCAAGCTCTGCCCAGCTCTCACAGGATGTGGGCAGATTGGTCACGGTAATGGCCTGCCTGGAAGAATTGTCCACTTTGTGCATCCTCCCCAGCAGGGCCAACCCAGGATGGCTTCCGGACAAACTAATAAGTGAAGAAATGAATGAACAAGGACAGCATCTGAGATGCTGTGTTTCAGGTGTTCTAATTCAGCTTGTCAGGGATCCTTCCGGGTCCTGAGTTTTCACACTTGTCTCTATGGAAACCAAGGTGTGAACTTTTTAGGTCAATGAGCTGGCTCTGATGTGACCATGGTGACTCACTTGCCCCAGCCAGAGAGTAGCCTGGAGTAGACAGGTCAGGCTCTGCGCTTTAGGATAGGGGAAGAGACTGCCTCTCACTTCCTGTGTGGGGGCAGAATAGAGCTGAGGATAGAGGACTCCTAACATTGCCACTCTTTACGATCTTGCCTTTTAAGAAAATTGCTCGGGGGGGGGGGGAGGGAAGAAAGGAGGGTCACCCACACATTCTTTCATCCATCTACACACTCAACCCTGTCCATAATCCATTTATTTATTTCAATTCCTTCCTTCTCTCCTTCCATTCCCAATCTTCCACCTCTTCCCACCTTCCCCCCTTTCCTTCCCTCTCTTTTCCGCTCCCCCTTCTGTCCGTGATCCATCCATCTTCCTTCTCACCTGACTGCTACCTATCATCATCTCTATTCTCAAAAGAGGTGCCTAGCTTTGTAGAAAGCTTTGAAAAAGTAACAGATCACAAAGGGGAAAATAAATCACTCATTTTAGAGACGTTAGTGGTGATGTGCAGGTCTCCATCCCTTTAGCTCCTCTTGATCTCAATATACGTGTCTTGTATAACAGACCTTTGTATTCATGCTAAACATTTTCCTATACCATTAAACATTGTTTCCCTTGCAAAAGTTGTTTTCTTCCTAATCGAAAAAACATTATGAAAAGTTTTTTGGGGAAAAAGGGAACAATTTCTTCATGACCTTGGTGTAATTGTTTTTAACATCCTGGCTGTTGTGTACTGAACTTTCTCTGTTCCTGGATTTGCGCGCACACATTGTACATGATGTAATCACAGTGCAGTTGGCTTCATCTATTCAGCATCTGATTGTAGAAGTATTGCCACACTTATATCTAAATTCATACATACTGGTTTTGGTGATGTAGTTTATTCTGCTTGTCCACTTTCTTGCCATGAGATAACTAAGCTGTTTTCCTTTTTGCTGTTATAAATAACACTGCGGGGGGAGGAGCTAGCAAAGTGGTGTAGCACCTAAATCCTCTGCCTGTAGGGCTGACATCTTATATAGGCACTGGTTCTAGTGTGGGCTGCTCCACCTCCCTATCCAGCTCCCTGCTTGTGGCCTTGGA